TTTTTTTGTTCCGTTTGTGTGGGCGGAAGAGGCTGACTTATTCGCGGTCATGATCAGATGCAGTGCCGAAAGGAATTTGAGCTGATTTATAAACTTACGATTGTCAATGCAACAGAAAGTAAGAATTACATTTCAGAGTTTGGTGTTAGATATGTCCTTAGAACCTAGGATCGTCAAGTCAGCAGTGTCTTCAGAGTGGGCGACTAAGCGGGCGGAGTCGGAGTGAGGTGTGAAGAATATTGAGCGCATTCCCTCAAATGCAATATTTAAAAAATATCCTCTCATTTTCACGAAGGAGTAATTGCCGGTATGCTTCACTTTTAATCCTCTTAATGATGCCTTTTTTTTTTTTTTTTGAGTAGGTACACATTTTGGATGAAAAGTTTTACTTTTAACAGACGATGCTCTATCAGTGGCATAACATAAATGCCACTTATATCCCGGACGAGAATTGTTTCTAGTTGGAACGTCGGCAAATTTTGTCTCGAGTAATCGCTAAACTGAGGAACTACCTAAGGAGTATCCTGCAAACACTAAGGTAAATGGAATAAGTCTAAAGAAAAAAACAACAAACAAACAAATAAAAAAAGAAAGGAATAAGGCGGTAAGCGCAATTTGCGAATGAGAAACTTCGTGGTAATTTAAGATTCGCTACACCCAGTGAAATACATTTTCATATTCGAATCTTGTATTTCTTATTTTTCTAACGTCAATTTTAAAGGCGTTTTTCTGTGAGTCTTGTGAAACTTGGACTAGGGAAATAACATGGTTCCTGTGCGTGCAGCTTGATTCATGGTTGCATAGCAACTTAACGAACCGTTTGCTAAACATTCAAGCCACAAGTACTAAAGGTCATGAGAATAAATTGTGTGAATGATATTACCTCCATGTTTGCGGCGGGTGTGGGTAAAAAGCGGATCTGATCAAGGTCTTCCCTCGTCGATGGTGTTAATGTTCCTAACACGTGCAAATCACGGTGCAAAGTTAAAACGGTTTCAAATTTAACATCTTCGCGTGACAGTGATGACACGATCGTAGAGATCTCATACCGATATTTCTCAATCAACACTTGATATAACTTGTGTAATGAGTGTGTGAGTTGAAACAAAATACGCAAAAAGATCGTCTTCGGAAAACATGCTAATCTGCGATAATGGGACCTAGGAATTTATATGGCGAGCCGTCTGCGTGAACATTCCTTGTATAACCCAAAATATTACCGGCTCAAGAGGCGACAACAACAGCGTGAACAGGAGAGCTGGAGCAGTGATGCCTTCGCATGCGCTGCATATCACCCGCTCCAATAAGCGATTATTGAGGAGAATTGCCGGTGTTTTCTACGTGGCAGTCACAATTGCAATAATAACAGTTTGTCTCCGCGACTGGTCCCAGACTTGGCGAATTGTTTCGTCTCCTCCAGCGAGACAATTACGTTCGGTAAATGTCCACACAGAGGTACAGCATTTAAAGACACCGACACCAGCAAGTGTGGAAAAGACAGGAGCAACTACAATAAAAACAGAAATTACAAAGAGTTCGCCAGTGGAGTTAGAAGGCACTCACAGAACAGTCAGAGTATCTACAATTGAGGAACGACTTCCTCTTGAGCACAAAACAACTCTTACCTCCACAACAAAATGCAATCAGCATTATTTCCTTCTTATTCTTGTCTCTTCTGCTCCAGCGTATTTCGACAGACGTAGATCAATACGACAAACGTGGGCCGTTGACAGCTCCATCAACACGCGCTGGAAAACAGTGTTTCTGCTCGGCCAGTCCCGAGACAAAAATGACACTGAGCTACTTCAACGTGAAGATGCGTTTTACGGCGATCTGATACGTGCAAACTATTACGAACACTATTGGAACCAAACGCTCAAGATTGAAATGGGTTTTGAGTGGGCAGCCAGGTATTGTAGCTTTAAATTTCTACTCAAAGCGGATGATGATGTTTTTATTAATCCCCCGGCCGTCATCGCCGTCCTAAACAGAGCAGCAACTCCAAAAGATAAACTCTATATGGGACATGTGTACAGAAATCCCCGGGTCCAAAGGACCGGGAAATGGTCGTTAAGTCAAGAGGAGTATAAAATGACAAATTATCCTGACTTTTGTGCCGGGCCAGGGTATATTTTATCCACCGACGTTGTGACTTCGTTCGTCAGTATCTTTGGTCGTATTCCGCAGTTTAAATTTGACGATGTTTATGTCGGGATGCTCGCCGCAAAAATGGGGCTTAACGCCGTTCACGTCAGGGGGTTTCAAACACCGCCATATTTATCTAAAACGTGTGTTTTATATGACAACACTTTCGTCCGACATGGGGCCGTGGGGCAATGTTTAATTGACCTTTTCCAAAAATCTCAAATCAAAGGAATGTCACCCTAACTAATGGTTCAGCCTGATTATTTATGTTCTTAATGGTCGTTAACTACCTTTGACATGGATAGACTGCGATTAAGCGTCACGATTGCGGAAAAAGCGTCGTTTTGAAACGACTCTCGTAAAAAGAAGAACACGCGGTGCATTTCTTATCTCAGAAATTACAGAACACATTCTTTGGAATTTGTGTCTGATTCTCTCGAGTAGAAGTTAATCTGCGCCGGTTGATATTAAAAGATGACCTATTTTGAGCCAATTGGCTGGTTCATTCAGGTAAGAGCAGACTTCATCATCAAATTGTGCTTGGAATACCTTGTAATTTAAATAGAAGTTACAAGGGGGGCGGGGATCTACCCATGTCATACTGTAAGACATCCAGTGAGGCAGACATTGATCTTTCTTTAGTGTCTTTGCTTCTTATCTTAAAACTTTGTTTGCGTGCGATCAAAATGGTGTCATTATTATCAATCAATGACATTTCTGAATCCTATATTGCCTTAATCGTCTCTTTCTATGTGTAAATAATGACAAATATTTAATGACAATTGCCAATTGCGGAACTAATGAACTAATTTTATGACTTCCGTTCGATAACCGTTGGGAGTCTAGAAAAAGGCAGAATATTCTAAATGAAAGACTATCGAAGCAAGCAACCATAGACAAATAATTCTGCTGGTTTACGTTGGATCAAACTAGTGATCATAGCGGTGTAAAGCAATAATGGAGAGATTGTAAGAGGGTCTCAATGAGGTGACGGCTTCCATGGCGAACGGTTAAAATTTTGGCTAATTTACGGCCAACGGTTAAGATTTTTCCGTTGTTTTTACAGAAATATTCTTTTCGATGAACTTTTTCACAACTAACGGATGAATTTGTCAATTTTGACGCCTAACGGTTATATTTTTGAGCCGTTTTACGGCTAATGGTTGACCCCATTGAGACACTCTTAGACATTACAATATGCACAACTTAAAAACAATTTTACGAACGTATAATAATTATTTGAAGAAAAGATGAAAATAAAATTGCTAACTGTGAAAAAACAAATTGGTGGAAAAAGTCGTATTTAATACAACCTTGAATAAGCCGTTTCCGGAACAGCTCCGGAGCCTACACCAGTGACTCCCCCTGCTCCTATCAGGAACTGAGGTCGTCTTTGATATATTGTTTAATTTGTTATCCTGTCCTGCTCCGTCATTATCCATTATCATGACAGCACTTTAAATGGCATCTCCTTGAATAAAATGTCACGAAATCTCCATTTTGACTTGGCTTACGAGAGCTTGTCGGCATCGGCTCTGGATATAACTCATAACGTTTTACTGTAGATTTAGAATCTTTTACTGAAAATACTGATGGTGTCCCCTTCTTCTAGATACCGAGGAATTTCATAATCACGGATATCCCCTTTATTCCAACACCCCACATAGAAGAAGTAACGTAATCTAATTACCACCGAACTATTTGAGACATGGACAAATAAAACAAAATTAGTCATCAATAGAGCACTGTTTGAAAAATGCAGACGTGTTGAAATGAAGGATATTATGCTTTAGCGATGTCAAACACAAAAGAACATTCCCATCATATATTTGGGGTTTTAGATCTATAGCATAGGGTCACTCTTCCCTTTCATAACAAGTGGTGTTCATGTCTTCTAACAACTTAAGTATATGAGGTCGTGATTCGGGTCTGAACACGTCAAAACATCAACATACTGTAACCTATAATCCGGAAGTTCGTAAAAGGTGACACTCTGAGGATCGCTGTTGATCCGCGAAAAAAGAAAGAGCTCCAGCATGACAGAAAAAGCCCACTAAATGAAAAGCTGAAACAAAAAAACGGTCGAATTGAAAAATTTACTCCACGGGAGGGGAGTAGGCACTAAGCTGATTGTTTCATTCCGGTGTTCTCTCAGCTCATTTAGGCTGTAAGGATTAACTTCGAAGAATTCATAGAATTTATTAAAACATTTCCTAAGTGTAGAGTCTTGTTACTTGACAATTCATCGATTAATTATTACGTCTCCTCCCTTGTCCAATGTCTGCTGCATGAAAAGTAGATCGCCAAAATTAGTAAGTGGCGGAAATTTCGTGTTGCCTTCAAGACAATTAAATTCGCTAAACCGCTGCACGGTATTTTCGACACAGAAATGAAGATATTGATACCTAGGCTTAACATAGGCCTTTTCACCTGATAACCCCTGAGTGATGCTCTTGTTTTAATTGAAGAAAAAATTGACGGCAAATTTAAGCCATAAACTGCACCACCGTTCAGCTGATCCAGTAAAAACGCGATACACGAGTGGTCTTCGTTTGAGAGTCTTTTATGTATGTTGTTTTGGGGACAGAAAAAAAGCTCATATTTAGTGAAAGGGTTCCAGATGATATGTGATCAAATATTCAGTAGGGGCCTGTATCATTTTCAGTTGATTCAGACGTGCTGAAATATGCTTATGATCAAATATTACATCAGATCGACTGCCGCGACTTCCCACAAACAAAATAGCCATCTTTCAACGGTAAAATTGTGGCGTAAGATGCTTTGCAAGATAGCCTCTTTGAAATCAAGTAGAATACTCAAATTAACAGTTAGTCCTGAGCAGCGATTTGCCAGGTTCAGTCCTCTATGTGCTTAAGAGGAGATTTTCGTCCCTTGAAGCTTAATCAAAAATTAATAACGTGTCAAACATGAGCTGACCGCTTTGCAGGCCCTGCTCAGAGTTAATTTGTCCACGTAACCGAAAATCATCTTGACTACCCTGAAAAGCACTGCATAAAAACGGAAGTGAAAAATCGACGTTCAACGAAGACAACTCTGACCGTACAGTTCATAACCTTTACCCAATAAAATCCCAAAGACGTGGCTCTCCCTCCAGGAACCTGGTTTCCAGGATGTCTCTCTTATTTCCGCCCCTTGCGAAGGACGAGAGCCAGAGAACAAGGTTTCCCACTTTCTCGCGCCCCACTTTGAGCCCTCATCAGCTCCTTATACAAATGATACATTCTTTATGTTCTGATTGGCCTTCGAGACTATAAATTTAGTTTTGGTTCCGTGACACTCAGTCGAAATGCCAGTCTTGATGACCTCATGAATCAGTATGGACGGGGTAATCATCCTTCTTCTTCTTGTTAGAGAGGTTTTAGGGTAATGTTGAAGTTTTCACAGCGGGTCACGTTTATTTTTAGAAGGCAAATCACGCATCACACTGGTTCATAAATTACGATTCACGCATCACGTATTAAACTTTTGCTACCCTCATCATAAGCAACTTGACTATAAGAGCTCTGTCAAACCCACTGATTTCAAGTTGGGCGACGCTTTTAGCGGATAATTATGCGCCGATCAATTCGGAGCGTCAACGACTTCCTCCGGCACGACTTTACTCGGCACAACTTTTACCGGCAAGACTTTTCCCCGCACGATTTTTTTAGGCTCGACTTTTTCTAGGAAGAATTTTTCCGGCACGACTTTTTTTTTGGGCACGAATTTTTCCTGCAAGACATTTTTTTGGACGTTTTCTGGTCTGTTATTCACCAACATCTAAAAATGTTTATCTTATGATTAAATCTCATCTTATCCAAAATTTATGGCTTTAGTGTTAACAGTCAATTTTTTTGTGTCAACACTCAAGGCCATAGGTAAAGCAGTTTTCAGACGGAACAAACAGAAACAGCCATTGCGTATACAGGAACAGATTGGAAGAAGAAAACGAACCGATGATGCAGATTTGAACTCACTTCCTTTTCTTCATTGGTGAGACAGGGAAACACCCCAACTCGAGTCCACGCAAATATTAAATCCTCAATTGAAAACTAGTCTATTTTTTCTAGCAATTAAGTACAAGACAAACCTAGTACGCATATGTGGGATATTGATCAAATGAAGCCTTTAAGTGCTACTGTGGTTCTTTCTTTATTCACTCCGAGCTTTCGCCGTTCTACGGCATCATCAGGGAGGACGATAAAATATTTGCGCTATGGTTTTAAACGTTGGAGGTGCCACTGTAAATTAGCATAGTGTAAAACTAGCTAGTAGGACGCTTGACGCAAAATCCCATTCATCACAGACTGGCTAAACCGAAAAATCACGGGAATCTTCAAGAGAGAAAACATCCCAGTGCGAATCGCCCACAACATCATTACGACATGCTACTAAAGGACACGTTCAAACGTTTAGCTAATACGCATAATTTAACGGAGTAAACTTGTCCCATTTAGCTTCACTAAAGTGTTACAGTGAGTAAACTACGAAGGGTCGGCAGTGACCTGCCGCGCGGATTATTAGTTGAGTCTTACGGTAAAGGAAGTAGAGTCGTGCCGCGAAAAAGCTAAGGTGGTAAAAAATAAAGTTAAGATGGTGAAAAATAAAATTGAGGTAGTGAAAAATAAAGTTAAGATGGTGAAAAATAAAATTGAGATAGTGAAAAATAAAGTTAAGATGGTGAAAAAATAAAATTGAGGTGGTGAAAAATAAAGTTGATGAGAAATATCAGATGGCTCTAACTGGGCTTCGTACTTATCTTGCTGGTTGTAGTTTGATAATCTGCTTTTCCTGTTCACACGCCACTTCTCTTTTGAAGGCGAAAAGGATCGGTTCTCAATATCTAAGGGCATCTTAAGCTCTATCGCCGAGTGATTTTTTTTCCTTCAATTCGCGCCGTGTTTATGGCTGTGTCAGCATAGGGGAATAAACGACTGGATTGGAAAAAGAATTCAAATAATTCAAGACGTCGACTATGAAATAAAACCTCAGCGATATTGAAGGGATTTTTCGGATTTATTGATTTCTTATTAAGAGCTTACTAACAATTAAATACAAAATCGAAGGACCTTAAAAACCCTCGAACTAAAAAACTTAAATGCTTCTTAACAAACCACGTAGCTTCCTTTACTTTTACAAAGAATTCTCCAAATTAGAGAGCAACGCTCTCCAATCAACACAATTTTCATTAATCGAATAGAAAGACCAGTAAACCAAGTGTGGCTTGGACTTTTAAATATTGGCACCGGTTTCCAAGTTTTTGTTGTTTCTCACGCTGGGCATCAGTAAACAAGGGGTGAGTAGAAGTTCATAAAGCTTCATAAAAACTAAACAATTTTATCATTACTGAGTCAGTTGCGCTTTGAGAAACAGCATGTACATGAGTGTCATGAAAAAAACAAAATGCTTTCGTGAAGACAATGTCAAAAATCGCTCTTTTAAAGCTCATAAGTTAATTTTTGGAATTAAAACCTTTAGAGGTCTCCTTTTTTTAACAGCTGCAAAAAGGGAAAAAAGAAAGAAAAAATTTGTTGTATCTTCTCTACAATGATGCAACACACCAACAAATAATACAAAATGGACCAATAATGGTTAACCTTTTAACCACAATACACAATGTTGATCAAAAGCACTTTCCAGCCTCTTATGAAGTGCAAAGCGACCTTTTCCGCGATTTAGATAAGTACTGTTACCGGTCACTTTCAAAGCAAAAAATTTTCGATTTTCATCTGCAGAAAAAGTGTTAATATTTCATCCAAAAACAAAAAAGTTAGAAAAGTTGTGGCTTCAAATATCACAGCAAAAGAACTTGTCGTTTCAAACGTAAATGGTTAGATCATGTACATGAAGTATTCCAAACCAGAACACACTTGCACGGTACACTGGAAAGTTTGCAATATTGTTACTAAGGTTACCAATCTTGTTGCCTAGGCACAAATTGCAAACCTGAACCCTCCGCCGCTTACGATTTCCGTCACTAACGCTAATCGTTAGCGACAGTAATTCTCTGTAACCCTCCAGGTTCAGGGATACTAATCGTTTATGGTGTTCTTTCGTGATTAGCTTCTCGAAGACTTCTTCTGTCTCCGTTCACACTTGGGACACACACCACCTTTGAAACAGATCCTGCCAAAAGGAAGAAAAGTTAAAAATTTTAACCGCACATTATAAATAAGGAAGTCATCAAACTCTTTTACTAATAAATGTAGCATGACAGGTCATCAGGGAGAGACAAGAATAAAGAGATGAACGCCAGTCATTCTTACTTGTGAAATACAGCTCGGCACTCATTACATTGTGCGGCATGTGGGTCGAAGGCAAAAATGACTTCATCTTTTCCACAAATTTCGCACATGAAACCCTTGGCTTCACAGAGCTGAATTATAAAGAAATAAGAAAGATCACCAAATGTAACCATATTAAACGCAGAGTAAGACAAAGCAGTCTTATCAAACCGTCTATCCAACCTGAAAAGAATGCATGTAGATGATTACTGACCCTCTTCTTAGCAGCATAGAGTAAACTAAATTACCACTAAATCAACTCAGAAAAGAGGAATGGCCGTAATATTTGTTTCAAAATTAACCTACATTGTACTGAGGACGTTGTCGTCGTCAAATGACTTCACATGCATGGTTAACTCGCCATATCCCCACAGTTTAAAGCTAATAAAAAAAATTTCCGGCAGCACAAATCCTCTCTCGATTTTTACACTGGCGCTATCTCTTTCTAGGCTTCACCTCGTCCCAGCTTACAATACCTTGTACGTTAGGCTCTGTTAATTGTCACCGAAGTAGTTGCTAAAAATTCGTCCATGTCTGACATAAGTCACCTTGAATAAGCTACTATTTTCACCATGACACATTCAATGTTAGACTTAGCATATATTACCTAAGAAGAGACAACAATGGTAAGGCTTCAAACCTGACATTCCGTCTTGATGTGTGTGAGAAAGAGAGAGTGAGTCTTTGTCAGGAAAGCCAAAAGAGAACCGGAGTTTATATCAATGAGATCTTGGAGAGAGTAAATGTTGTCACTGTCCACAAAGTGCTGTTTATCCTTCAGCTACAAAATGAAAAAAAAAATGAGATGGAAAGAAAACTGACATAGCTTTAAGGAATAACTGCTTTCACTTACTCTCAACCTAATATGGTAGACCAGTTTTTTCTAAGTATGTTCTCCTTTTTTTATAGTATCACAATTTTATAAATACATATTTACTTACCTGCAACAACAACTTTCTTTCCAGCGCCTCACGACACGTAACAAAGTACTTCTTCATGATAAGAATCTCTTCTCTCAAACGCTATGAACAAGTAGAGACAATCTTGTTGTATCAGTGATTTTCAATAACCACGGTTTTATTGTTATGTAAAAAAATGCTACGAAATATTGAAAACTGCAAACAGACCTCCTGAAAAATTACCAGAGGATGTTACCAGCTCCTCCAATAGCATTAATTTGAGTAACAAAAAATTGCTCTCTTTCAACTTACTGCGTTCAATTTCCGCTGCGTATTTACACTGCAGGTACACCCACGTTTTCAATTTCGTCTCTCAAACTTAAAACAACAACAGGCAGAAACATCCAAGATCACTTGCACATAGCTTTTTTCTTTTATCTTACCTTAATTTCTCTCAATTCCACCACAAATTTAAACAACGCCGGATTTAGTTTTTCAATCTTTAACAAAGGTCTTGTCAGCATAAGGTCCAAGAACTGTTTCCACTGTCTTGAAACCTACGAGAAACAAGTGAAAAACTGTTTGGAATCGACTGAATAAAAAAACTTCTCGGGTAGCACAATTCCACATTATGGTTCCATCACCTGAACACAACACGGTGGATTCCATTAGAACGCGACTATTAATTTAGGTAATAATTTTTATATATTAACCATATGGACGTGAGTATTTTGCCGAGAACTAAAACTCTCGTAAAAAATACGACAATCACATCTGGGAACCGAGTGGCGCATATTTTGTATGTAACACAAGAGGCTATATTGAACAAGAGGTCACAATTCCCGCCTTATTTGTTGTGGTAAGCGACGAAGATGTAAATGCATTTTCCGAACAAGAAGAGAACAAGAACACCAAAATGATAACGTTGTGTGATCAAAAGATTTTCTAGGAATTCCTCAAAAGTAACGACGAGACAAAGGTAAATTTTTGTTGTGTTCGTGCTGAACAGCCTTCAGAGGTTCGTAGAGAAAAAAGGCTGAAAATAACAGTATTTGATGATTCAAGTCAGAGTCAGTAATCGTACTTTCATTGAGCTTATAAAACCAGTTCACAAGTATTTTGGCCCAGCTGATGGTGTTACATAAAAACCTTTTTATAATTTGGGCACCAGGTAGTTTGTTTCTGTTAATATCCGGTAGTTATATTAAAGCCAGCTTTTCAATCTCTCCATGTATATTTATTGTCCATATAATGAAAAGAAATTGCACGTCAGCTCAAAGATATGAATTTTATGTCCTTGTGGCACGAATAACATTTCACTCATCCGCTACGCTCACTCGTGATATTGTTCTTGCCACTCGAACATAAAATTCATATCTTTTGCCAACGTGTAATATCCTCTATACATCTTGTTGATTAACCAAGCGCGAGGGCCACACAGTGAGAATACAGCCATGGGCAAGTGCATTTGTTTCAATACGCGGTCCGTTAATGGAAAATATCCGCTCTCCGATTGGTTGAATGCAGCTCAGTATTAGCCCTTTACCGCGTACGTCAAGTCATTTCATACCTTGTAGGTAGAGAAGTCCCAGTTATGAACCACTCGAGCAGGAATGACCACCATATCATTCCAATGACACTCTTCGCAAAAATATTGACCAGAATAATCACAAAGGCGCGCTTCAGATCGTTCACCTCCTAAAATCAAAATACGACAGTTATTCCAGCTTGATTATGGAGAAAAAAAAACTTCAATACTTTATTCAAAGTGGTCAGTGCTCTTAGCTGAACAACTAGTTTTCAGGTAGGCCACATCCCAATGTCACAGTGTGTAGCAGTTCCACCACTCACTTGTTAGTCCAATCTGTTTCCTGCACTCTGCACACTTATATTGCTGTGATGCCATTCCTGTTTCCGGACAAATTTTCAAATTGTACATGCTGACTGACACCTGTCAATAGATGGATAGGGATATCGAATTGATAATAAAGATATTTACTTCGTTAGAAAATTAAACGGTCGAATTAGTATTTAGAGTGACGCGAGGAGAAACAGAAAAGCCGAAGTAAAAATTTTGATGCGAGGACGAGACTTGGTGCAAGGACGAGAGGAATTTAGAGAATCTGTGTCGCTGAGCTGGGAAGCGAGCGTTCATATTGAAAATTCATTGAGGTCAGTGGCAGGTGTGGAAGTACACCTTTTTTAAAGTACATTTTCTCCGGCAGGATTATGTTGTTTATTAAAACAAGGAAAATAATATCATTGATTGTCAGGGAACATATTAACGCTGTTTCAAACAAATCTTTCAAATAAGCATAACAATTGGTGCGTGCAGGTAATGTCGCCAATGTAACCCACAAAGTTGCTTTGTAAAATGACCGCAAAAACTGCAGGTTTGTGGTAGTTGGCACCAATCCCCTGACTTTACGATTCAGTTCTAACCTTGCGACTGGCACATGGTCGGCGAATGAGCTCCAGGCAACGTCTGTGAGAGTGATAATTACAAGCTAAAAACAAAAGGAAACTGCTTCTTAGTGAGGTTACCACTAAAGACGATTACCATCCATAATCACTTCTCACCTAGACTGAGTTGTAGGAAGCACGATTAACAGCTATTTTACGCCGTTAACTAAGGCTGAATTTATAGATTACTTTACGATTGTGCACTCTGATCGTCCGGGTGAGAACAGTCCTGAAAGTGACTGTTCTCACCGTAAGAGTGATTGACGTTTCAACAACCTGAGCGGAAGTTATTCGAATAAAGAACCCATGTTAAGTAAAGCATTGTTGTTAAAAATTTGCCCCTTCAGCAGAGATTGATATAATCATTATTACAATCTACAAATGCTGAAATTTCTATTATGCAATAAAGCAAAAATAAAACTACATACCTTTACAGGTGAAAAGAGACTGCCACATCCAGATTGCTTTACCACATTTATCACAGTTATACTTTTTTCCTGGGTCATCTTCCTTAACGAAAAGATGACTCAGGATTTTCTTGGCGTTGGTGTTACTCTCTGTTTTTGAATCCTGAAAGATGAGAAATATAACAACATAGTCATCATCATCATCATCATCACCTTCAATATCAACCTAGAGGGAACGGGAAAGGGGAATTTACAAGTGAACATTCTACGACGTGGCTCTTACTGTCTGCTTTTTCCAAATTGAACTGGAATTTGGAAAGTTGGTTTTTGTGGTGGGAGGGAGGAAAACTCAACCTTCACGTGACGCCATGTCCCGAAATTGAACCTGGACAACAGCTGTGGGAGGTGATGGCTCTCACCATAACACTATCCTTACTCCCACATCACTCCCACTCACACTCCCCATCGGCAACATCAGCATGAACATCAGCATCATCATTATCATCCTCATTATTACTCTCCTTATAAGTTATGTGACCACGTCATTGTTCAGGCAAAATGGTGAAAACTAAAATAGTAAAAAAACCTGTGTTTCCTGCAGTTTGAGCCTCAGCTGAACAAGTTTGGTGACAAGCTTGTTTTTTTCCTCTGTATCTTCATGTGCTGTGTTTATCCGGTCTTTACAAGCAGATATTGCATGGTTAAGCTCTTCTGAGGTGGAAAAGCCCATGAAGGACTAAGGAAAAATAGATTAAAAGGAATATGGGGAATTGAAATAGATGATTGGAAAAAATAATGTATACTGTTTTGACTAGGGTACTTCTTAGATTCAGATGTGGAAAGTACACAAAATGTATCAGTTTGTAAAATCACTAATAGTACATCTTATAAACATGGTTATTGAAAACATACGACAAGAACCAGTCAGCACATATACTGATAGTTATGAAAATTCCTACACCAAATTAAATCTATGAGTCCTCCTATGTTGATATGTTTAAGAAATGCAGCTCTTTAACAAACAGCATTGTCAGGAGTTTAAATAAAACCTGATGAGCAGCACTTGACTACCCATGCTTCTACAGCCTCTGATTGCAGTTTGTTGAGATTTCACTTTTGAGGCGTTTTAAGGCATCTTTTGCTTTCAAAGCTGCCTTAATCCTGTAACCCCTAACTGTGACCAGCATCTAGTTTCTCTTAAAATATCATCCCTAAATCAAACATTGAGATCAAAAGAATGAAGATGCTCTTGATGGTTAAACAAATTCTCCTTGTCAGGACCTTGGGAATTGTATGAAGAATATGGATACTGATATTAAGTTATAAAGGGTGAAATCCACAATCAATAGATACTTATAGAAGGAATGTTTGGAATCCCTGATTGCCATCACTTTGTTCAAAATTTAACCAACAGTTAAAGCAAAACATACTGGAATCTTACCTCTGGTGGAGAGAAATGGTCTTCCTCTAGTCCCAGTAACTCATCAAACATTTCATATTCACTGAACTCACTGCCAGGGGATCCAACACAGAAACCTACATCTGCTTTAGAGCTATTGCGGTTGAAAGAGCCACTTCTGTTTGGCCATGAGCCTGAAGCCACTGAGCTTTCGAATGTTGAGCTCCCAGGAATTGAATCCATGGTGTTGTTTCTGCTGCTTCTTTGTGAAAATGAACCTGATCCATTGAAACTTCCTGAACTTCCACTCATTGAATTTTTGTGGATTCCAGGTATAATGTTTAAGTCTTCTCCTTCATAACTTGCATTGGATAAACCTCTTTCTTTTTCAATTTGCCAAATGCTTTCCACCGGCTTTGGAGTGCCACACTCAAAAGTTGCCAGGGAAGCATAATGTTCTAGAGTCTCACTCTCAGAAGGATTATCATCTTCCTCTGTCACTCCATCAACAGCTTCAGTTTCATCATCACCTGAATCTTCAAAAGGATTTTGAGATGACAATCTATTTTCCACCCCTGGTAAGGGGACTAAATGTGTCTCTGCCTCACAGTTTCCTTCTGCTAAACAAGACATATCATTTGATACATTAAGATCAGAAGTACAATTTTCATCTAGTTCTCTTTTCTCTTCTGTTTTCATTCCCATAAATTCCTTTCCTTCACTTCTTTCTTCAGTATTGTTGACAACATCCTTATCCAAACAAACTTTCTCTTCAAGTATAGAAATTTCATTGGTAGTCATTTCTTCACTTGTAAAAGAATTTGATAAGGCAACTTCCAACTGATGAATAGTTCTTGAAGGCTCCTGAAAATTTTCAGAAACAATTTCTGACACTGGTAACTCCATAGTTAAAGAAATATCAGAACTAGTGTCTTCTGCATCCAAAGCACTGGTTGGAATGTCGTCAACAAGTTTACTATTTTCAGAAGTTTCTCTAATCCCATTTTCATTCTCAAATGTTTCAAACTTTTGGTTAGAATCCTGTAAATCTAATTCCTTGTGCATTTCAGTCACTTTATCAATGTAATGAGTTTCCTCTGTATCAGTACTTTCTGCTATCATTGCTACTTCAGCCTTTTTCTTCTTTTTTCTTTTCTTTCCAGTTTGCTCAAATTTATAACTACTACTTCCTTGACCCTGCAAGTTAGCACCATGTTCATGTCCATTCCAACTGTTTGAAGGAGATCCATAACCATTCACAACACTTGATCTTTCAGGAAGATGAGTTATCATTGCATCTGGAAATATTTACCATTCACAAAATCATTCATTTAGTTCCTCTTCTCTCTGATCACCTTTTCATTATAAGATAAACAAGGTTACCCTTTAAGTCCCAGAAGTGATTAAAAAGTAAGTTCTCCAAATAATATCCACACATTATCAGGCAAACAGGTAATGAGAATCCTCAAACTTATCAGGTAGAATTTTTTACCTTGATCTAAAACCAAATTCTTGTAACTAATTTACAAGGAAATGTGTATCAGCTAAGGGGAGAATTAAGGTGACCCCTTGGCAATACATCAGGCTTCCTAGTCAGTTTGGTGGTACCATGCGTTATACTCCTGGGGGGAGAGGGTGGAGGAAGGAAATGTAAGAGTTGTATCCACATGCTAGGGTCTTTCCCAAGAACTCTAAACTGACCCAGCTAGGACCTAAGCCCAAACTAGACTGAAGCCCATTGCCTGTTTGCTAAGCAAGGTATCTAAAATATATAGGCCCAATGAAACAGCCTTAAGTTCCATATGAAGTCAGTTAACAAACAAGGTAATAAAAAAAGCCAACCTGTTGACACACGATGCTAGCCAAGCAAGTAAGAATACTTTTAATTCTTCATCATCTGTTTCAAAGGCTAAAATTTTGCTTTACAGGTTCAAACAAGGGTGTATGTAAAAAAAAGGACTTTTAATCACTATTTTCCTCAAAAAGCATCACATTTCTAACAGTTTTGTGAGAAAGCTCTTTATTTTTCCATCACCTTTAAGAATTGAAGGCATGACTGATGAGAAAATACATGTGTGAAAAGTTTTAATTTGAATTCTCTCCAAAAAGTGTAAAATTTCTAACAATATCCTTATGCTGTGAATATCAGAGAGTATTAAACATACCTGCAGCAATCATAGCTGGGTTATCCTCCCTTGCCACAAGCCTCCTGGAACTGCTTGTCAAAGAGCTAGGTGAACATTTGTACATTACTCAACAAAGTGGTGTCAGAAATAAGAGTAGCATTGTGTTCATTTTGCATTCAGAAAAGATTCATAAATTCAAAGTTGATTTGCATTGAACAAATTTAAAGACTGTCATCACCTTCTTGACAGCTTGAAAGACTAATGACTCGATGAGTCTAACAATTTGGTAACAGTGTATTTTTATTAAAAAAGCTATTTAAATGCTTGACATTCAGAGCATTAATTTTTCCAATACATGGAGCTCATCAACTGCACATCACCTTAAAAGAACTGTCATTCAAGACTGATAGTACAGTCAGAGGACTTACATGTCAAAATCCAGATGTGATATGCCATATGTGATCAGGTCTCTGACTTTTTCTGCCTTCTCTTGATCACAGAAAAATGCATGAGAGTGGTAGAATTCTCTGCAATGAAGATAATGATAGGTAAGTATATTTATGACTTTTCCATGCCCAGCACTGTATTTTTAATTCTACAAACTTAAAATCACTTTAAGATTGATGCCCAACACATCAAAAAAAAATGCTTTTTTTTTTTTTTAAATAAATTTAATATGCATTTGAGGTCTAATATTACACCTATCAGTAACTCTAAAGATAGTACATGCTGCAGGCACATTTTTTGGAAGGGAGATAAGTTTCCTTAGAGACACAGCTAACCTTTGGACAAAAATTACCAGACAGGTTCCCTGAAATAGCTAAACAACATTTATAAGTATTTGAGTCATGGTTTAAAATGTCTCCTGGCTAAAGTGACTTTAAACTAGTTTTAAAAGACTTTTGTGCTAACCCTTTAACTCCCAGATCAAATTTGTCATTCTCCTTACTGTCAACCATACAATTCTTATAAAGTTAGTTCAGAGAATTTAGTATTGATATTTTTCTTTATTTTCATCACTTATCTGGTTGATATTGTATTGCTTTGTGAGAAGAAATTCTGTCTTGGTCACTCATAGGAGTTAAAGGGTTAAACAGATAAATCAAACTAGTTTGAAACCATTATAATCTGAAATTCATAGTACACTACAAAATGTACATAATTTATGTTCTTTGTCATCTATACACTTTATTTGCTGGTTTAACCTACCCTCGAAGAGGGGGTTTATCATTCCACTATTATTGCATTTTCAAGTCATTTGGTTTCTAGTTTTCAAATTTTTGGATGGCCTTATCCAAGCATCATGTCAATTGCATAAGACATGCATGAAAGAAGAACACAACACACAAGAAACCACTTGAGTGTTCTTGATGACTAAAAAAATTTGGGCTTCAAAGTTATTTGCTGGAAAAAAAAAATCATGTCTAAAAGCAGAAAAGAAATCAAAGATTGCACAAATTGTTTCCATTTGTATTTTTTCCCTTTTTTACAGTGTAATACTGTGGCATATTTAGCACATTCCATTAAAATGACATAATATTGGAATGATAATATCTAGTATTTCTCTGCAACACACTATAGGTACAGAATGGGTGAAAAACATAGTCTGCTCAAATTCCCATGAATTAAAATACTTCAGAGAGTTAACTGATGCGATAACTTAAAACAATGACTTGATATGGGTGAGTAACCCTAGAACTCCTTTGAGTGATTAGCATTTCATTTCTCCAAACAGTATCACTGCTGAATCAAACATGAAGGTCATGAAAACAAAAGAAATGATCACCCACTAAAGAAACAATTTAGTAATTGTCAAAAAAATACTCCTTGTCAGTACCAGAAGGAATGTATGGAGAATGGTAAAGCAAATAAACATGTATATGCATACTGATTTTGGGATGTAAAGGGCTAAATGACTGGAATCAGAACCTCTCCTCAATATAAATCATAGGAAAAGAACTATTAAGTGTTTGCACCATTAACCCCTTCATTCACTCACTCTTACTACTCCCTGATTAGCAATTCTCGTTACTGTCAGCCAAACAATTTTATGATGCTAGTTGAGAGAATTTGTGTTGGACCAACTAACAATCCTCTCATTGACATTTCTTTTTATTCTCATCACTTGCCTATTTGATATTGTATTGATATCCTAAGGAGAAACTTTATCTTGGTCACTCATGGGAGTTAAGGGTTGCAATTGTTTGGATCCTTTACTTATTATTTGAATTACCAATTGAATAATTTAAATGTACATGTATATCAAACCTAAGGAGCTTTTCGTCCTGTGTAATAACATTTATGTAGCTGCTAAGTGTGTTTTCCTTCAGTCCTTGTCTTATCCAAGCCAAACATTTCTCCGGTTCACGTTTCAGTTGTAGTCTATTTAAAGAAAATAAAAATAGACAATCACTTGATAAAGCATCGCTCAATTTGGAGCTTCAACATCCCCCCATTTGGTCATGGGCATTTGACTGTCATCCTTCCCCTGAGGATGGGAAATTTGAGCCTTGCCTTGGGATATTTGAACCAACAGAATAAACCTGTTTGTTTTATTTTAAACCTAAAATAGTCATTTTAAATATGGAGGAGTTTAACGTAAAGACTCTGCTTTCATGAGCAAATGGTTCAGACGAAAATTTTCATAATCATATAATATTGCTTACAAGTTAACTTGACTTTGAAAAATTCTGTAACATTTGTTGATCACACAAACAATTATTTAACGGAAAATTGTGCTTTTTAGTGAATGCAATTTTGGCTCACCAGGCAGAAATTTGTACAACAGTTAAAATGCACAAGGGATTAAGCTAAAGCTTTGAATTGATTAATACATTATATCACTTTCTATTTCAATGAAGAAGAGAATATCCTTCACGTGTCTCACACATTAAAACTTCTGTAATACATTGAACTGAGAACATTCCCTAAAGTATCTTGGTTTATATACCGTTTGATGTCCTCAATATCTTTTTTACAAGTAATGTTGTTTGCCAGTGACCAAAAGGAAACTTGGCTATAAGAGGCCCAGCCCAGCAGCCTGCAAGAAACAACATGATTTGAGGTTGCTTGGCAGGCTGTTCATTGAATAAAAATGAAGATGAATAAATCAATACAATCAATCCAAACAAATACAAACCCTTCCTTTAGTCCGTGATTGAAGATGTCCTCCATACACAAACAAAATTTGTCTACTGCACTGCAATTCCATATCACACTGTATCCTTGTGCAACATGCCCTTGAATCTAAGAAATACAAAGGTTGAAAGATTTTTTTACACATTTCCGTACGTGTTGTATTTAAGTTCAACTTTTGAACAATTCAAAAATATACAGAGAACTTGCATTGGCTATGATAAGCTTTCTATAGCATTGATAAGTAAGCTAGAAATTCAATTTCACAGTGGCTAACTTCACTCAAATATATATGTACACATGTATGTGTAAATCAAAGTGGCAAATTTTAGGGGAAACTTATCCAAGTGCTGGGATCAATTACGAACCATAGCTCATACTAAATTCCTCTCTAACTTTCCATGGTAAACCTCCTTGAGTTTCAAAGTCCACAATCCATTTGCCCCTACAATACACACCCTAAGTACAGTTTATATTTAAGATCATCTACGAGTCCTTGCACTGCCAATTTTTTAGCCTACCAGCATGCCCTTGTGTTTGGGTTTCCCCTGACAGCCTGTTTTCAGCTGACAGCATGGAAAATTAATGAAACCACCAAATACTAAGAGATACCCTTAAGTTTTCAGCTCAATTAATTCCCAGACAGCTTGCTTGCTTCCATTCTCAATTACTTTATGGGGATTGAATACAAACACCACATGTAATGGACTCTGTCGATTAGCTCTTAAGTAAAAAAAAGAAGATAACTTATAACATTACTAAATGTTATACTCATTCCGGTATATCATGAGTATAAGTTGATTAATGCGCATACATACGTGAATAAACTTATCACGCTATTTCTAATGACAACACCTAGGTTTTCAAAAATGCTACATCAAGGATCTAAAGAAGTCAAGAAATAAATTGTTGACTATTTCTCATGTTTAGCGTAGCCCATATCTGCTTCTGCGCTTCCTTCTTTCATACACGAAAAACATTTCATTTAAATTTCCACACAATTCGTATAAAGTTTAACAGCTAGTTTGACCACCGTTCTTTCGCTTTACAAAGCGGATGTTAAAGTGACACTACATACAAGCACGTGCATCGATTCAAAACCAACCCTTCTGAACTTGAATTGCGGAAGGAAGTTTCTACTAATCGTACGGCTTCCATGTCACAGATGATTTAATATTTTAGTTACAATTCGTTAGTTATAAAATATTATGTCTGCCTCTTAGTTATAATTATACAACTAACTCCCAAGTCAACTGAGGAGTAACCTTTCTTTATCAATTTTATATGGAAAACTGCCAAATGGAAGGTTTTTTTCGAAAATGGAGAACGACGCATCACATTTGGGAATGCTTTCATATTAATCTTACCTCTTGAACTGCAGAAGAAAGATTTTGAAACAGTTCGTCACGTTCGGAATCGTGTGAGTTCTGCATGTCCTAAGACTTCAGACCTAAAGCTGTATAGGTCTGAACGAATCGCGAAAGGACCGTGTTAACAGGCCACACGAAGACAACAGCTGATGAAACGTCATATCACATTCCATGTGGATATTACAACGTCAATCACTCCTTAATGGACAGTAGTTTTCGATAAACAATTATATTTTATCCCAATATGAGCAGGACTTCTGGTTAAAGTGACTTTTAGAACAATCTAGTTTGACCAGAGATTGATTCGATAAACGCAACGACAAGAACTCGGACTTTCGGTACACAACACGTTAGATAGGAGTTCGGCGTCGCGGTTGATCCTGAGCCAAACAAAAAATTGTGGGGAATTAAGCTGAGCCGTCTTGCGTGAGAGACAGCTTCGTCAACAACCGCTACTACCGTTGTTGAGTTTTTCAAAGGAAATCTCGCACCTTTCTCACAAAAGTAATGTCGGCCATATTTGTTTCTAATACGGGAGTTTTGGATTTGACACAACGCTGGCCAAGGCTGTAGGGTAAGACGGCTCAAGTTCAATATGGCGGTCGCGGAAGAAGCCTTGAAAGTTTGTGAGACTTTGGAAAAGATTTTGAAGGGAACATTTGGACCGAACGGACACGACGTCATGCTGAATTCATCTTCAGGAGAAATACTTATTACAAATAATGGTGCACTAATTTTGAGGTCGTTGAATTTAGAAAATCCCATCGGGCGAACTATTGTCAACAAAATTGTGTCCTTCTCCTCAATCTCTGGAGACGGCGCAACATCATTCGTGTTGCTTTTATCATCAATCCTACGGGAAGCCGTTTCCATTACAGGAATGAGAGATAACTTTGATCCCACTGAAACTTTATCAATCCACCGAGGAAAAACTTTAGCTGCATTGTCTCGAGCTTTTTACAAACTTGAATCAAGTTTACTTGAACATGAAGTTGTTGTTTCAGTTCTGAACGGAATCGCAATAACTACAGACCTCGAGGCCGAGGATTCCTCGCTTATCAAAAAGAGAATGATTAGACTTCTCATCACAACACTTAACGGAAAATTCCCGACCAGTTTAGTTTCAAACTTTGTTGAACTTCTTTACCAGGTGGTGATGGAGACTTGGAAATCATCAGCTATTTCCCTGCAGGATGCACTTTTACATGTAATTGACGAATTCGGCCAGATCTGTGTAGAGGTTCCTGGTGTTCCAATTTCTTCTTCTCATTTGAAGCCGGGAGTAATAATACCTCGTGGATTTTCCATCGAACAACAAGGAGTTCCCAAAACTTCTCAGGAGTTCATGTTTGTTGTTATGAACTGTAGTTTTGACTTCTTGGGACCACAGACATCATCATCAATTCAAATAAAGGATGAAACATCTTTAGGTTTGAGTGTTGAGTGGAAAAGAAACCAAGTAAAAAAAGTAATAACCATGTTCAATGAACATAAAATTAAATTAATTCTGTCCTCAGAGAATGTGCCAGACTTTGCCTTGCATTTCTGTAGGCAGTATGGCATTGCTGTTGTTAGCAGCATTCCTCAGGAGTATGTCAGGTATATTTGTAAGTGTACAGGAATACTTGCCATTAATGATGTTGGTGTGGTCAATCTGTCAGAACTCTTTGTTGGAAAGGGTGTTTCATGTGATCTTCACACAATAGGTCATCATAGATTTGTCCATCTTGAGTTGGATTTATCAAACTGCAAATTCTCTCCATGCAGCATACTTCTTTGTTCTCCAGCACAAGGATTATGTAGGCAGTGTTACATTGTTCTTCACCATGCACTAAAATGCATCAAAATGTCCTTTAGTGAAGATGGAAAGAAGTTACTCTTTGTACCAGGTGCTGGTGCATGTGAACTGGCCTTGAGCTTTTCTTTGAAAAAAATTTCAAATAGTGTAAAAGACTCAAATTTATCACTGGCTTTGGAAATCCTGAGTAGTGCATTGCGAGCCATACCAAGGTTCCTCCATCAAAATTCGTTTTCCATGTCTCATCCAAAAGAAAATTTCATTCACTGTTTGAATGAGATGGAGAGGTCTTTGAAGGATGATGGATTGTTGTTAGGGATAGATTCAAAGACAGGTAAATCAGTAGATCCTCAAGAATGTGAAATTTTTGAGCCTCTTCAAGGAAAACACCTGCTCTGGCAGAGTGTGTTACAGTGCACATCACAACTTTTGAGGACAGATAAGCTTATTGGTGTAAGAAAAATAGACAATGGTGTGTGAGGAATAAAATAAAATCTTATTTAGAAAGCTACTTTTGTTTTATTGAAAAAAAGAGTAGACCAAACCATGATTTCAGAATTATTCTTTTCCCAAAATATAACTGGATGATAAATAGCTCTGTCGAGTAATAGATAGATAAACCAAGTCATTAGTTAACAGCTCAAAAAATACATGAAAACAGATGCCAATGTGTGGGAATGTGAAACCTGAACATGTTTGTAAATATTGTCCTCTCAATGGGCCTCTCTCCGTCAATTTTAATGGTTGACCATTTCTCCATTGTCTCTGGTAACTTAAAATCACTGCAGTGGAAGCACATGATCCCAATTGCGACAAAAATTTCACAAGTAAGACAATCCTCAAACACTGAAAACAATTATTTTTGATAGCAATAAAACCATCTCTTTTCGATTGTATTGAATTTTGTATTTATCCATGAAATTTTGTTAAGTTTACAGAAAATCAAGACACTCATTCTATATTCGGGAGAGGTAGCTTACTGTTAAGAATAGATTTTGAGAAAAGTCATTTGAAGAAATCTACGCCCGCGAGCAGTTCATTTGACATAAGCAGCAGTTGTCTAAAACAAAGATGGTCAGCGGGTTTGCCATAAAATTCAATATGGCGGCTAAACGCAAGGCAGAGGATGACGATGATGGCGAAAATGTATCAACTTTGCAACAGAAAAGGCAGGAAACTACGACCACACAAGAAACAACGACTGCTTGTAACACGGATTCTTCATATTACCCACAGTTTTACGAACAACGCGGTCCGTGGATAACTATGTTCGACTGGAATAGCGGACTCAACTATTATCAAAATATTAGCGATTATAGAACTCAATGGGAAAAACCGACCGAATGGGATTCTATTCATCCACTTTTTATTCCAGCAAACCAATATTTTTATCAAGGATTTTACAACGGAGCAGCATATGGTAAAACAAACAATGATCCTGTGGAAAACGTTAAACAAACTGCCTGTGATGTAGAAGGTATGGTTGAGAGACTTCTAACAAAGCCAGCTCGTCGACAGATTGATCCTGAAGAAAAAGAAAAGTTGCACTGGATTCCTGAAGGTGCCACGGAGTATAATATATGGTACGATCGATGGGTGGGAGAACATTGGCGGAATGACAAAGATCACGGTTAGTGATGTGAAAGACTCTTGACACTCGGGAAGGGAAAGAACGAGGTAACACTGCTTCAAACCATGTAGGCCTCCGATATTCCTGACCCTAACCCTAACCAATGGAATATCGGGGGCTCACATGGTTTGACACAGTGTTAAGTCGTGGTTTCCCTCAGGAAGAGAGGGAAGAGTTCATTTGAAAAGTAGTGATGAATTAGGACAGTCTAGGAGATAGCATGAGCAAAGAGGAGAAGGTGAATAGGGAAACAGAGGGGAATGGAAATAGGAGATACATAACACTTTCAACAGCAACAGATCATTTCAAATACTGAAGTGGAAGATTGAATTTTTCCAAAGGAGTGGGATTTATGAAGCAACATCCAGTTGGCTAAACAGATAGAGAGATTGAGAGAAACTTGAGACTTGACCAAAAACTTCATCATCCTTTTTTTCTGGTTTTGTTGTAGGGCCATCAGAGACAAAATGCTGCATAGAAACAGATGCAGGATTCACCAAGGCAAATATTGATGATCCTGGTGGAAACAAGCATTATTATTGCATTTATTTTGCTAGAGGCTGTTGTCATCTGGGTTCTGATTGTGGTTATCTGCATATTATACCCACTGATAAAGATGAAAAGAGGTCAGTGGTAATAATATTAGCATGCTTACAATTACATTAATGATATCAGCATTCATATATTGACTGAGGTGTACATTTGCGATGATACACACAAGCTAGATCAAATGGATGTAATATTAAACATTTCATTTTTAAGGTAGAGGTTTAATAAAGGAATTTGCTTTCCTAACTTATTTAGAATTGATCTAGCTCATGATGTTTTTGGCCGAGAACGTCATCGACTCCACAAGGAAGACATGGGAGGGGTTGGCACATTTGATAAAGAATGCAGAACACTATATGTTGGAGGCCTGGGCTGTCGAACAACACTGGAGAAGCTTTTGTGGACTGAGTTTGGGGAGTGGGGTGAAATTGAGGTAAATGTCACACTTTTATGCCCTTCGTAGCTGGACATTTTAGACTGTAGTGCCAAATATATTTAAAATTGCATGACTGATTAAAGTAATAGATGGCTTTTAGATATATTGATACAAAATAATTTGGTTAACAAATACCAGGCTAGCAAATGAAGATGCTTCTGAAGTACATGATATGAATGTGCTGAACTTTAGTTGGAAGTTTATTAACCTTTGTTTTGATGAACAATTAAAATTAGGAAGATGTAATTGAATTGGTTTTTGAATTTAAGTTTTTTTTTCCTCACCTATTTAATTTGTGGTAAATTTTCCCTAGTGGACATGGACTTAACAGTAAAAGGGCTTGTGCCTTGGAAACTTAAAAGTAATTGTTTTTTTTCCTTCAATAAATCCTACAGGACATAAGAATAATACACAAACGCAACATAGCATTTGTACGCTACAAGAACAGAGTTAATGCTGAATTTGCAAAGGTGAGAGGAAGGTGTTTAATTATTTTTTATTTTTTCTCTGGTGAACTGTCCAGCATTTATTGTTCAACATGAAGATGTTACAGTATTTAATTTTTGTGAGTTTGGCAGATAGTTCTCACTCTTGAAAGATAACTTCCTGCAGTAAAAATTATCATAAAAAATGAAATGCCACAATAAAATGCAGAGAACCTGTATCAATAGCTAATGAGTTATGATGCAGTTACACTTTTAAAGGAAAATTAAGTTGGACCTCTTGTTTTTTAAGATTGCCATGTCAGATCAAAAGCTGAACAACAGAGAGTTGCTGAATGTGAGATGGGCTTACGATGATCCAAATCCAAAATCACGAAGAGAGGTACTCCACTAGTTTACTTTTAGTGTGTTTGTCAGCTATAGATATAAGCCTTTATGCAAATTAGGCTGGTCTTCATTCTAAGTTAGCGAGAGAACATGGAGACAGATTTCTGTTGAAGTGTAAGGCGTGGTAAGGAGATCATGCAAACAAAGATCTTTCTTTTTATTTACTAAAACGTGCTTCATGTTCATCCAGGAGCTGTTGAGATCTAAACATAGAGTACTTGAGGCGGCCACAGAGCGAGGGTTACTTCAGAAGGCTCTTACACGTCCCACTCAGCCATCTGGTGCTCAGGTTACAGGGCCTTATCCGAACACAGACAATCAGTACCCTGTGGAATGCGGCCCTCAGACTAAAGAGCAATTTGAGCAGGTATACCAGTCACTTAAATTCATCAGAGAGTTGTAATCATGTAATGATAAAGTCTCAAAGATTTGTTTGTCTCCCCACTGGAATATATATGGGTAATTATTAATATAGAAGAAAACCTTTAAAACTTTGCAATTTTTTTGTCCACCACAGACAGGGCTGGTTATTTAAACAAAAGCCGTAAAAAAAGCCGTCCATAACGGAACTGCGTCCCAAGCCATCTCCAGTTAAGCTGATCCTTTTATCTTTTTTTTTGTGGATCGTTTCAAGAGGGCCCAAAAGCTAATAGTGGAAGGACAGTCTTTTAAGACTTTTAATTGAATCAACCCTCTTATAGAGAATCCCTAAGGCTTATTGCTTGCGTAAAACCACGGTTTGGGATAGACCTCGTTGAAACAACTGGCCCATACTGTTTTAAAAACGATTTTTCTGAGCTCGAGGTCATAATCTGAAGTAGCACAACTGGCAGAGAATACTTAACTAATGTTCCACTTAGCGCTCAACTGCAATGATAACGTTTATGAAAATTATCATGCCTCACTCATCGAATGCCGCCATGTGTCAAAGATCGGGCGATATTCTTCAGCCCAATGATAGTTAAATGTATGACATGTAACCATTTCTCTCTTAACGTCTTGAAAACGAAGATCCTGGGATAAGGTGAACCATGTTTTCTGGCGCAGAATAATAAAATGCATCTATAAAAAAAGAGTTTCATACATGGAACACACAAAGCAGTAGTCTTATTGGTAGTGAAGCACTGGACACTGCAACGCGGTCCTCTGATCTTATTAATGGCCGTTTTCATGCTAGAGACGTTAAAGTTGTCTAAGACGTTAAAGTCGTCTCGAGACGACTTTAACGTCTTAGACAACTTTAACGTCTCTAGCAGAAATGCATCTATTCACTGATTATGAATACCTAACTGGATTCCTTTCATTCATTTTCAATGTCTTTTTTAGTTATTTATTCTAGGATTTTGTTACATCTCAACAATTATGTAGGTTTTTTCGCGTAAAATCAGTAAAATGTCTTGATAATTCTAATTGTAACTTGACTTTTCTCATTTCCTTTCTTCAGGCCGAGGTTCTCCAAAATGTTTACACAGACTGTACAAGGTTAGACGAAGCCCTCAAGAAAGTAGAGGCCTTCCATTCCGAGAACACAAAGAAGGGTGATGTGAGCACGGCTCAACAGCTTTCTGAATATAACAAGAATGAAAATAATCAAACCTCAGAGGCATATTGGAACTGTTCTGATTATTATAGTGGGTACAGTAGTTACGATTACGGACAGGCGTGGGACCATTCACATCATAATCATCAGACTGAAGCAGGTTACTCTACGAAAGATCCTTACAGAGAAGTGATCGCAAGCAAAGAAGTGGAGTCAGATTCATCTTCTGCCGGTTATGATTCTGCGTCCATGAAAGCGTCAACTTCCGAAGCAATCCCGAGTATCGACTGATCAATCTCGGAACCCGATCGTGGACCAGAGAGATGATATAAACGTGTGCGGGGCTATGGTTCTTAAGTGCACGTGATCACCTTTTGTTAACAAAGAATGATGTAGGTGTCATCCTCGTAGAATTCGGTGCTTACCCAATGATTGGTTTTCTCTCTGGTCTGCCTTGTGAACACGGGCGAAGCTTGCCGTAACAGTAATCAGCTGGCACAAGCTCTAGGTGTTA